CAATAATACAACAACAATAATAATAACAACAACAACAACAACAATAATAGTAATAACAATAACAACAACAACAACAACAACAACAATAATAATAATACTAGTAGTAGTAATAATAATAATAATAATAATAAAGAAAAAGAAGGAGAAGAAGAAGATGAGAACTTTGAGATGGAATATTAATGTAACGATTAAACAATGATAATAACAAATGTTAAGGTTAGAGGATCCACTAATGGTATGTAAAACAAATATAGTATAAACTCTTAGTATTTAATTGGAAACCACACACAAAGGAGGTTTCAATCAGATTATAGATTGTTAACATGATTATATTAGTCATCTTATTCGATTAATGTTAATACTTGTAAATCTCGTCAAGCATTCATGATTATAATTTATGTTAACAACAAATCAAGTTCCTTTCATAGCTTAGGTGTCGGTTATACCATACAGTATGAGCTATGAAAGTGCCAAGCATTTGTTGTACCAATTCTTATACAACATAAATCAAGATTAGTCATTTAACAAGCAAAGTATTAAAGAGTGAACAAGATAACAAATACAAAACTTGTTAGTATCAAACATTAAAGTCCATATTAAATTTACACTATCTTATTCTTACACCATTAGTGTAACCTTTTCACCTTGACATAATAAACTTAACTAAACATAATGAAAGAAAGAAAAATAAATAAACAAAATAAGAACATAAATAAGATAAAAGTTAACTAAGTAAATGAAAGGAAATGAAAGGCATAAACTTGATATTAATGAAAGCAAAGCATAAACATTACAAAAAATACAAAGAGAGAAAAGAAGAGCATGATGTTGATCTGGAAACCAAGATGCCTAAATACATGGCAAATGCCTCCTTTTATAGGCCAAAATTGGGAACTATTGATTTGATGACTAATTGATGAGTGGGTGGCCAACTCTTGACTTGGTAACAATCCTTATCTTCTCTTGTCTGCACAAAACGTTATTGATAACGTCAAAATTGGAGCCACTTGAAAACATGAAAGTTGTAGGCAATTGTCTCAGCTTTCTTGTGTAAAACATTTAGCTCATTTCGACTTCTAGAACTCCATATATGGCCAAAATACTGAACAGTGCTCGGGCTGGAGGACAGATTCGGGCTTCTTTGTTGTTGCTACAATTTGGACTTGAAAATGGCTTTTCTAGATCTTGGGCTCCATATGAAAGTTGTAGGCCTATGTCTTACCTTTCCATCCATATAAAGTGGACCTAAATCTGAGATCTACAACTCTAGATATGATCGAATTACAGAATAGTGTTCCGGTTTGGATTGCACCGACATCTCTTTTCTAAGTTTGGCCATCTCTTTGTCCTTTCAATTTCAGTTCTTAAATTCATCAATCAATCCTTTCATTTATGTGATAGTCCTGCATTTAAAATGAATATTTACCACAAATTAAAGGTATCTTATATTATTAGATATATTATTATAAAACATGCTTTAGTTAAGAAGTTATTGTTACTTCAAGTGCAAAATAATGATATAAAACCTTGATAAAAATACATTTTTAAGTATCAATCAGCAGAGCACAACCCAAAATAGCATTGGATGCTGGCCGCGGGCAAACCAAGCATCATATGGCACTTGCGCAACACAATGCCATCTAGCGCTTTGTCTACTTATTCTTAGGTGCAGTCCAAGCTCCACGTGATGCTTGGGCTGCCTACACTTTTAGTACAATTACAATAATTAGTATTAAAAATATTATTATTAGTTTTCTTAATATTATTTTTTCTTTCAATTTTAGTTCTTAAATTCATCAATCAATCCTTTCATTTATGTGATAGGCCTGCATTTAAAATGAACATTTACCACAAATTAAAGGTATCTTATATTATTAGATATATTATTATAAAACATGCTTTAGTTAAGGAGTTATTGATACTTCAAGTGCAAAATGATGATATAAAACCTTGATAAAAATACACTTTTAAGTATCAATCAGCAGAGCACAACCCAAAATAGCATTGGATGCTGGCCGCGGGCAAACCAAGCATCATATGGCACTTGGGCAACACAATGCCATCTAGCGCTTTGTCTACTTATTCTTAGGTGCAGTCCAAGCTCCACGTGATGCTTGGACTGCCTACACTTTTAGTACAATTACAATAATTAGTATTAAAAATATTATTATTAGTTTTCTTAATATTATTTTTTTAGTATAGTTAATTTTTTGAGTATTAATAGTAAAAATATTATTGTTTGTTTTGTTGATATTATTTTTTTAGTATAATTAGTATTAAAAGAATTATTACATTTTTTCTTAATAAAGTTTTATGGTATAATTGATAGTAGTGGTATTAAAAATATTATTATTTTTTATTCTAATTAATAATGTTGATCTAAAGACTATTATTATTTGTTCTCTTAATATTATTTTTTTATATATAATCAATATTAAAATTATTATTGTATTGTTTCTTAATATATATTTTCTTAGTATAATTAATAGTATTAATCTCAAAAAAATTATTATTTTTGGAGTTATAAATAATATTATTTTTATAATAATTAATAATATTAATAATAAAAAATATTATGATTTGTATTGTAAATATTATTATTTTCAGTAAAATTTATAAAAGTATACTTTATTGTAATTCATATTATTAATAAAATAATTTATGAATTTGAAAGAAAATGCTACATCATTTACTAATTTTACCAAATATATCAAAATATAATTTTATCAAAATAAACCTAATTTTATATTGACTTTTACTTACAAATTACATATAGATTATTAGACGCATGATCCAAAAATAAACTTGAAACCTACCATGTGCATGACCCAAATAGCCTTGGGTCCTACGCGACCTGGCCTAAGGCTAACTCAAGGCTAGACTCGAGTCAGGTTGGGTAGGACCCAAAATATCCTTAGGTCTTGGCCACATCAAGACCCTAATATGTTTGGGACCTAAGTTAGCAGGACCTAAATAAACTTGAGTTCTGCTCCCAATTTTTTTGGAAGTTAAAGATGAGCTCGCGACGTAGCACGAGACACCTAACTAATTTAATACTATAAATAAATACCATTAAAATTAAAATAATTTAAAACAATAAAAGTAAAAGATAAAGACCGCTAACAATAAAAAATATATATTTTTATGCTCTAGTCAATTCTATACAGACACCAACATTTATTGGTTTA